GGGAGCGATGCTGCTCCGTGCTCCAGAGCCGCCCAGCACCCAGACCTCGCTGCCATCTCCCCAGGGACACATCCAGCCCTGGGGCTCTGCGCGGCGAAGGGAGGGGGGTGTCTCTCCCAGGCAGTTTTTCAAGTTGAGTGGGTGCCTGCTCTTTCCAGCCGGAGCCAGGCCAGCCCGTAGGAGCCTTCCCGGCGGCTCCCACCAGCCGAGTGATGCTAATCCCTCCTGACTGCGCTGTCTCAGCCATCTCCCCCGTGACAGGACAGCGTCAGGTGAGGCGCGCTGTCACACCAGGCTTCACATACACACTCTGACCCCGCACGAGTAGGTAGAGCTGCCAGGGGAGGCTCTGGCAAACCTTCCTTCTCTTCTTCACCCACCAAAAAACTACTGTTGCATCCAGTGGCTCTCAGGACACACCTGTTCAACAGGGATTTTCCTCCTGCTTCAGTTTCCTCACACAGAAAGCAAGGGAAATAAAATTTGCCAAAGAAATGCGCTATGAAAATGGCACCGGAGGGAGCAGCACAGCACAGGATGGAGACGACAGGCACCAGTGGGATGGTGATGGACATTTGGGCTGTGCCAGTATGCCAACCATCATCTCCACAGTGCCACACTCGCTGGGGTGGCTGCTCCATGGTTATGGTTACTCCACGACTGACTCCTGCCCTTCCACGGGGGGAAATGTTGGCACCAGCTGAGCCATCACAGTGCCCAGTGCTGCCCAGCCTGGTGCTGCCACAACCAGCCCCTGGATCATGCTGCCACACCCAGGGAACTGAGCTCCTTGCACTGGTGACATGAGAAGTCTTTGGACCCTACAGCATCCTTTCCCAGCATCTGAAGCCCTGGGGTGACACCGCCAGGGCATTCCAGGACCCCAGTCACCACCCCTTTGTGCCCCATCATGTTTCCCTCTGCAGAGTCGCCAGATGCTCTGGAATATCCAAGAAATACTGCATTAGGCAGGTTCGGGATAATCTCAGCTCTCCCGCCCCTTTTCTCCCACAAAGGTCTTGTCTTAATCCCTGCAAACGGCTGTGCAGCCCAGCACTCTCCCTTTCAGCCCAGTGCTGGGGGGCTGGGGTGGCCCTGGAGCACATCACCAGCTCTGGGGGGGCCCTGGAGACCAGCACCAGCACAGAGGGGACTAGCAC